CGCGGCCCGCCTCCGATGGCTCGGCATCAGAGGAGTTGCCCGACGCCCCGGGAGGCCTCGCCGCAGGTCCTCCTTCACCTCGCGGGATTGCCCGACGTTGATGGGTGCTGCGGACCGGAGGCCCCGGTCAGCGGAGATGCTCTCCCTGACTTTGGGTTTTACGGGTCTCCCTGCATGGACTCTGGTCTACCAGTTTCCTGTTCTTAAGAAAATGTTGGCTTTGTGGGCTACCTACGAAAATGTGGCTACCTACGGTCTAGAAAACCGATGCGGAGCCGAAGTCTGTACTCCTTGGTTTACAGAAGGATCCTCTTCCTGGGCTTTTGGAATGGTTGCTGTTGGGCACTCGTCTTCAGGTTGCGAGCTTTGGGATCTTGCTTCAAAAACAGCCAGGGAGCCTGAGACAGAACCTGTGCTGTCGGGTCTGCGGAGTTAAGGGTGCTTGGGGTATGATGAAGGACTTCTGGGTGGAGAGCTGCTGCTGAGGGTTTGTGTAGGTGTGTCTTGAAGTTGAGGTTGGGGGAGATAAGTTCCTGCAGCTACTTAAGTAGCCAATAAGTAACATTGAAGTCTTTATTTCCATCTGTGTCAAGTGCAGTCCACTGTCTAAGCCCAAGAGGGGTGAGGTCCATACCTGGGCTCCTTCCCTACGCAGTGTTTGTTCTTAGCCTGTCTCTGATAGTTTAGTTTTTGTCTTTTTTGTATTGCGGCTCTCTGTTAATTTAGAAAAGCAAATACGGTTTTAACTGGGATTTGGAACGAGTGGTTCTATATTGTGATCAATTGCCTGCTTCTGGACAAGAGGAGGTGGAGCACCTGTCTTGGGATGTAGGTGTGCTGCAGGGACTCTTTCCCTGTTGGTGTGGGTCTCAGGTGGGCCCACTCTAATTTGTCATGCTATGAGACAGAAGTCATATCAGGAGCAACCAGGCTTTGGGAAGAAGCACTGTGGTGTTCATACCTGAGGTGCAGTTGCCCCTAGGACGGGGACCTCCGTGGATAGCTGTGCCTTGTCCTTGAGTGAGAGAGAGGTAGCCCGTGTTTCTGCCTTGGTTTGTTGGGTACCCATGGCTTCTCAGTGTCCACAATGCTGGCCTGTGGCTTCTGGGTGTTTGGATGCCTGGTCCTGCCCAGACTTGTTAGGGATCTCCTGCTACTCAAGTGGCCCGTCTAACCTGAATGTGACAGCCTGCCAGGCCACTTGCTTCTACTGGCTGCTCTTTCTGGGAAGAAATAGAGTCACTGTGTTTGACCTGAGCTCAGGAAGCCCACCCTCAATTGGAGAGCTACAAGATGTCTTCAAAATGGAAGAATTTCTGAGGACCTTCAGAATGGAGTTGGGCCAGTCCTTTGAGAAGAACAGGCTAAGTGAAAGGTTTGAGAAACTAGCTTTTGAGAGTGAAGCTATGGCTTTTGCTCTCTGCTCCAGCCCCTGAGACCCTCAGGCTCTTATGCCCTCTGACTGGGTAGCTCTGCACTGGCCCTTCCCTCCCTGGAGTACTTTGCTGCAGCTTTCTCATGGCTTTGCTCAGTATTTCCTGAACTGCCCCATAGGACACATCCAAATTGAAGGATCTGTGAGCACAGATCACACAGAGTGACCACTATTAATGGCCTGGTTTCCTCCCAGCAAGAGCAGCCAGCAGAAAGAGCCAGCCAAGAGAGGCATGATGGTGCACACCTGTAATCCCAGCACTCGGCTGAGGCAAGGAGGATTGCCACAAGTTTGAGGCCAGCCTGAACTACAGAGTAGGACCCTGTCTCAAATAAGTAAGAGTAGGCTGCCATCCTATCTGTGGTGGCCTCTGGTTCTTCCTCACCTGTAAACCACCAGCAGCAATGACCTGTATCTTCCTCTGTGTTTGGAAGAATTCTGCCCTGGTCCTAGCTTCCTGGAGAAAGGGTAAGTACTCTAGGCAAGTGTCCTGGTGGGGGGCCTTAGTGGCCATACTTGACCTGGGTCAAGCCAGGCATGGTGGCCCACACCTGTAATCCCAGCACTTGGGAGGCTGAGGCAGGAGGATCACTGTGAGTTCGAGATCAGCCTGGGCTACTTAGTGAGTTCCAGGTCAGTCTCAACTACATAGTGAGACCCTGTCTCCAGACAAACGTACTTGACCTGGGTCAGTGATGGAGAACCTTTTAGCACTTTCAATGATAACAGCCTGCTGTGGCATTTATACCAAACCGAAGATTTTCCACCACTGTCCTACCTAGTACAGACTACCTAGATAGTCTTGTCTTGTTGTTTAGGAAGAGGTGTACGCACAATGGGGCTCTGGACTCCTGTGGTGGTAAAGGACAGTTTTGCTTTAGGCCTGAACCCAGTGTATCTATTTTGGAATTACTCTTGAACCTGGGTAAGGTAGTGGCCATCAACCCGTGCAGGTCAGGCTCAGGTTCTGGAGCTAGCAGCCTATGTGGGCTCTTGCTCTGACAGCCCATGCTGTTGACTAGAGGACTTACCTTCTTTTTCTAGGACCTGTCTACATGTGACTGCTGAAAAAGCCTGTGTCCATGTGGTGGTTTACCGCGGCCTCAGATGACAGTCCCACCCCCCTCCCTTCCACTTTTGTTATTTGGTAAAAGATTTGTCAAAAGCCACCAGAGAGGCCGGGGATTTAGCTCAGTTCTTTCGCTGCCTGCCTTGCAAGCACAAGGTCCCAATTCAATCCTCAATAACAAAAAAGAAAAGAACAGCCAACTGAGACCCCAGTTCAGGGCCCCACCCAAGTTCTTGATGCAGTGGGACAGAGTCCCAGCTTGTGGAGCACATTGAGAACAGCTGTGCTCCAGGATAAAGAGGAGCACCTGGCTTATACAGAATGGGGAGTAAAGTTTATGGATGGTGCTTTTTGATTGTGAAGGGTATGGTTTGGTTAGTAAGGTAATTATGGTCACTGAAGGGGAAGGGGGCCGGCCGGAGGCTTCCGTAAGAACAGGCATCCCTTCCAGATCAGAGAGCTGGATTTCAGTTGAGATTGCCTCAGGGTGAGGATTCTTACCTTTCTTACCTGGGAGTGCACCATCCCAAGGAAAAAGAGATTCTAGGGTGGGGCTCCATGCCTGTGTTGAAGCTGGACCAGTGGTCAGGACACAGCTTTGAGCTGGAGGGCAAGGTTGGGGTGGAGCTGGTCTTGCTGTGAGATTGCTGCCTCCAAACTCAGCACAGCCCCACGTGTCCATTGTTGAGCACATTAGGTTCAGCTCCAGGGTGGAACTTTTTCCTGGTGAGAGATGTGTCACCTACAACCCTCAGTGTAAGCCACCTCAAGAGAAATGCCGCTCCTATTGTGAGAGCCTAGCTAGATGTTTAGGTATTTGTCTGGGATAGCTCCAGGATCTCTAAACTATGAAGACCCACAAAATTCTCCAGTAAGCTTAGTGGCCTGAGCACTGTTTCACATGATGAAGGAAGTGACATGATGAAGCCAGTGGGTTATATAGACAGGGTTCATCGAGCTGTAGGCCCTGTCTGCCAGGTCTTGCACAGTGCTGGCACCATGGCCCTGGGTGGAAGTGCTCCTTTACCACAGGTCTTGAGAATCTCATCCAGATTCTGCCAAGGTGGCCCTAACCAGAAGTTTGAGCAGCCACCTACAAGATTACGGGGCAGATCTGGACCTGAGCTGGTAGACCACATGGTGGGCTGATGGCAGGAAGGGATATTGGGGTCCACTTGTCCACCATGAGCTTTACCCATTCTCTTCCCCCCCCCCATTGTCCTCAAGAATAATTGTCTTCCTGGGCTGGGGATTTAGCTCAGTGGTTCTGCCGCCTGCCTCCCAAGCACCAGGTCCCAAGTTTGATCCCTGGTCCCCGGTCCCCCGTCCCCCTGTTCCCCGCATCCTGGCTAGGCACAAATCTAAATTCTGAGCCCGGATTCTCGGGGGAGGACGAAGGAGGAGTGGAGTGCTGCTGCCTGTACATACACATACCAGGTACACTAGGAAGGGCATAATCCATCCTTGTACCCCAGGTCTCAGGCTAGGCCCTGGCATCACTGCCAGCTCATCTTTCCTAAGAATCTGAGGGTAGAATGGGGTCCCTGTCACTCTGCCCCACTGCATTACTCAGCAGCTGCAGCCTGGCCTCCAAAGTCTGTCTCCTTAATGTGGAATGCAAGGCATGGTCTACTGGATTGACTGAACCTGGCTCACCTGCTTTTTGGAAATGCCTGCATGCCCTAGCCATTATGAGCAGGGCAGCACAACAGAACAGAGCTTTGCCTTTTTTAACCTGAACTCTGCATCTCTCTGTTCCAGGGACTTTGAATATGTCGGGGATCGCCCTCAGCAGACTCGCCCAGGAGAGAAAAGCTTGGAGGAAAGACCACCCATTTGTAAGGAGAGATGTGTTTCTTTGCCACTGAGGGGGTGACTCTCAACCAGGCCCATGGTCCTTGTTGTGCTGGCCTGTGGCCACTGGGCAAAGGTGCAGACCTATTCCCTGAGCTTCTGAGCAGGCCCACAGCGCTGATATGCTTCTGTGGCTGTTTTCTCTCAGGGATTTGTGGCTGTCCCTACCAAGAACCCCGACGGCACAATGAACCTGATGAACTGGGAGTGCGCCATCCCAGGGAAGAAGGGGGTAAGCCGGCTCTGCTCTACCTGCAAGGCACTCCAGCAGGAAGAGGTTCAAGTTTAGGTGTCTGTGATATCTGTGATCACACCCTGAGGATTAAATTCTGCCAGGTCACATCCCAAGCTCAGATCAGAAGGGAGCGACAACAACTAGAGTAGGACTGAGCTGTGGCAGGTGGCACTGGCTACATTCTGGTGGGTTTTGAACGTTGGGTTGGAGAACAGGACTGGGGTCCTGGTAAGGAGCTCTTGGTGTTCTTGTTGGGTGCTGGGGCTCTGGCCTATGCTTTGGGGTGTCATTAAGGTGTGGGTACCCCAGTGAGCCAGCCACAGTGCTTTTGGAAAGAAAGCCAGGGCCATGTGTGAAGCCTCAATACTTCCATTATAGCTCACCTGAGTCCTGAGCCAGTTTTGTACCCTTATTGCCCAGCACACAGGGAACATCCAAGTGAAGGTCCCCAGTGATTCTGAGGTATATAGACTGTGCCTGCCTTGTTGCCTCCATTTCCTTCCACCTTCAGGATAATGAGCTTGGCCTAGTTGTTCTTCTCTGAGCAAAGCATTAACCTAGTAGGCTTTGACCTTGGCTGGGCAGATGGGAGGTTGGGTTTGTGTGTATGGGCCTCTGTTGAGAAGAGGGTGGGTCCCCAATCCTTACTGAGACCATCCTTTCTCCCTTATTTTAGCTGGGACAGGTGCCCTCTGAGGGGTAGGGTGGGATGGAAAGAGGTGTCAGGGCATGGAATAGCAGCACCGGTCCCTATCAAGGTGGGCTCTGAGGCAGAGGAGAAGTGAACAGCTTTCTGTATCTGAGCCACAGGCAGTGGATCATGACCCTTTGGGAGTCTGGGGCTCCACATGTCTTCTCCAAAGCCCAGCTCCTACCTCTGCTCCTTTCTAAGGAGTGCTCCTACAACTCCCCCATGGACACAACAGAACACACCTTCATGGTACCGGTACAGGTTTTGGGGCCTACATCAGTAGAGTCCCTGGCCCCAGGAGTTGGCCACAGTCCTGGGTATTATGGGGACCAGTTGCTCTCTCCTGGGCCTGCCTGTGGCAGGCAAGCCACACCTAACATAGTTCACCTCCCTGCAGACTCCGTGGGAAGGAGGCTTGTTCAAGCTGCGGATGCTTTTCAAAGATGATTATCCATCCTCACCACCAAAATGTAAGTTCCTACAGGGACCCACAATCTTCTTCAAAGAGTTCCAGAGCCCTGGCTGGGATAGTGGTATTGGTGTGAAGATAAAGGCAGCCCTGGTTGAATGTGGCTTTGAACTGTGTGCAGGCTGTCGATAGGAGTCTGTTTCCAGCCCTGGGGTTGGGAAAGGCATATATTGGCTTACTTTGTGTTCCTAGTTAATGCTGGGAAGCTCTTGGGCCCAGAGCACCTAAACTCTTCATAGCTAACTTTGAGGACCTGTATCTGGTACCCATGAGTGTCCCTGCCCTAGTGGGGACAGTCCTACAGAAGAACCAGACTCATGCTCTTCCTGAAGGCTGTGTATGGCTTCGTGGTAGAGCAAGTACAGGTTCAGTCCCCTACACAAAAAAAGAAAAGAATCTCACTCTGATCCAGCCTGCTACTACCCACTTGTCTCTTACAGTTCATACCCAGCTGTGGCTGTGTCTGCAGCTGGAGAGATGGACATTAAACCTACAGGGTAGGGAAAGACCAAGCCACGTTTAAAATGGGCTATGGCAAGATCATCTCAGTGCAGTCTAGCAAAATTCAGGAGCAAAAGGCTCCTCAGTCCCCCACCTGCTGGAATCCAGCACAGTGTTCTTAGTCACAAGATTGTGTCCACCATACTGAGAAGAAAGTTACGCAGTGGACAAGTGGGTATGAATTTTCACTGCTGCTCTGTAATTGAAATAGTTCCCATTTTAATGTTTTTATCGGAACTTAAAATTAACTATTAACAGGAACCCCAAGCAGAGTCTTGTTCCATTGTGGGTTGTTGGCTGTCTGAAACCTTTTTGTGGTACCCATTATTCCTTAGTGATCTCTTTTTTTTTTTTTTTAAGAGAAAAGTCTAGGAACAAGCTAGACATAACTGTTTTAATCACTTCTGTTCAACATTATGGTAGAATGCCAAGCAGATCCAGGCATGCAAAAAAAAGTCACCTAGGTAGCCAGACATGGTTGTACACACCTGTAATCCCAGCACTCTGGGAGGCTGAGGCAGGAGGATCACACATTTTAGCCTAGCCTGGGCAACTTAGCAAAACTGTCTCAGAATTTAAAAATAGAGCTGGGGATGTAACTCTGTGAAGAGTCTGGGTTCAATCTCCAGTACTGCAAAAAAAAAAAAAGAGGAAGAATAAAAAGAAGTCATCTAAGAGAGCCTAAAAGGAGGACCAAAACCTCTGCTTGTAAAGGTCACTGCAGGAAAGGTTAATTAATGTGCAGAGTATATTTTCATAGAATGCAACAAGTGAAAGCGTTAAAATTAAACCATTTGTTTATTTGGATTTGGTTTTTGTGTGGGTTTGTTTGAAGTATTTTTGTTTTTTGGTGTTTTGTTTTGTTTGTAACAAGGTCTTGCCTTATAATCCAGGCTGGCCTTGAACTTGTAGGGTTCCTCCTGCCTCAGCCTGGATGCTAGCTGCCATGTGCTATAATGGCCAACTTTAAACCATTTAAACCAACATCAGATGCATTGATATGAACCCCACAAAAGATAGGGTAGGACCTCTACACTGGGAGCTAGCATTTGTTTCTGAGGGAGAACAGGACGACCCACTCACAGACTGGAGGGCCTCTCATGGGGAAGTTCATCCTCCCTGAAGTGGTCTGTACCTGTCACTGGATCCTAGTCAGAGTGCACCAGACTCTAAAATGCATATGGATAGGCAAAGGGCAAAAATATTTGGCATTCTTGGAGCCCTTGAAGGTGTTGACACAGGCAGAAGCTCAATGCGAGGAGCTCCCAGGCCCACTGGTAGTGTGGTTCAGTGTCACATACAAGGTTTCAAGACCTGTTCTGGGGCACAGAGGCTGAGATGCCATGGGATTGGCATGGAGATGGGAGAGCAGGCCCACAGCAGAGTAGACAGCCCAGAAATATGATATGCACGTGAGCTTGGTGTGTGGCAGGGATGGCCAGTGGAAGGAGAGGGTGCTGTGCTTCACCAGTGACAAGCCTACCAGTGCATGTGGAGCCCGTTGTGGGGAGAGATGTAGGGCCGCTAGAGGAAGGGCCAAGAGGCTGTCTTCATGACTTGGGATAAGCGTGGACCTTGCCAGGGAAGTACAGGAAGTGCTGACCCTGCAGGAACCACCCACTCGATCCCTTGAAATTAAGGCTGTCCTCATCGAAAGCACCAACGCAGATGGAGTGAGCCATGGACAGGAGTATATACCTCTTGCCACTTCTAATACATCAAGAGCTGCTCTGTCACAGAGAAGAAAGTAAACCGTTTGATTGAATAGACCCCCACAAAGGAGGCTGTCCTTTCACTAGCCCACAGCAGGAAGGATGGTTGGCTTTATCACCAGAGTGGAGGACACACCTAAGGGATGGGTGCCAATGTCCTCAGCAGGGCAGATGTGGCCCAAGTGCAGGCAGCAGGAGTGCTCAGGCACTCGTTGGAGAGAATATGTCTTGGACATTTGCCTTTGGAAGCCCGGACTAAGGATGCTCAACTGCCACTGTTTGACTCTAGGAAACATCCAGTTGAAGCATGCATGTATATGTATTTACAAAGGTGGGGACGTAGCCGGGCATGGTGGCACACACCTGTAATCCCAGCACTCGGGAGGCTGAGGCAGGAGGATCGCTGTGAGTTTGACACCAGCCTGGGCTACATAGTGAGTTCAGGTCAGTCTCAACTACATAGTGAGACCCTGTTTTAAAAAACAAAAACAGGTGGGGACAAGAAAATGATGACAGCCCCATTTGTAATTAATTCCCAAAAATGGGAGACAGTGCAGATGTGCATTAATAGCCCGGGGTAGGGCTGCAGTGATTGCAAAGGATCTGCAAGGTTAGCACACCAGTGAACCTTCCATACGTGACCCTGAGTGCACAGACCACTCAGGAGGATACGAATGCACTATGTTCTTTTTGTACAGTTTAGCAACAGGCTGTCCTGAGGAGTGAGGTCAGAGGTCAGGCAGCATCTGCTGCATTTAAAGGGAAGCCAGCAAATCACCCAAATCAGGTTGGCATCTGTGATGTGCACTTTTTTTATGTGCAAACTATTCTTATTGGCTGAAGAAACAAGGTTGGTGGATCAGATTAAAACTAGGTACTTGCATTCACCATAAGGCACTAAAAAGCAACTCCAGGGTGGAAGATGTTTGTGAGATATAATCAAGGAGGACTTTTAGCCAGAGATATAAAGAGCTTCTTACTAGTGGCAAAGATATGAGCAGGACTGAATGGCAGCGGAGGAAGGGACTGTCCACCTTGGTGGTCCCCAGAGAGCTGCGAATTGGAACCCAGGAGGCCTGGTTCAGCACAGTGGGGCACTGTGAGGAGCACAGCCACATCTCCTGGACTTAGGTGATACCCTCAGCCCATCGTAAACATACGCGTTTATACCCAGGAGCCCTTACTGCAGCCCTGCCTAGAGTTATTGGAGACCATCCCAGAGTCAGCTCCGGGTGTCAGAGGTTGGGATGGTGGACGGTGTCAGGCGGGGGTTTTCTCTGAAGCTGTTGGCACTAATGGCATGTTCATTTCCTGATAATGTATCAAGCTGTGCTACACTAGGGCTTTTCTAAGAACTTCAATGACATTTGGAGATAAAGAGGAAGAAGTTGCCCAGATAAAAATGAGACATACAAAGTATCAGCTGGGGACAGTCCTGAGTGAGACTTTTCGTGGTTGGTTGGTTGGTTGGTTGGTACCAGGGATCAAACTCAGGACCTTATGCTTGCAAAGCAGTCAGTGGAACCACTGCGCTAAGTCCCCAGCCCTTTTTTGCTCTTTTATAAAGAAGGAACATGGGGGCTGGGATTTAGCTCAGTGGTGCTGCTGCCTCGCAGCAGTTTGATCCCTGGTACCAAAAAATAAATAAATAAAAGAACATGGGTCTCGAAACCCTCATTTTTATGAAACAGAAGAGCCAGACAGTGAAAACCTCCAGTTGTGAAGACCTTCAAGACAGACCCTGGTCTGTTCTTGAACCTGTCCCACTGCACTGTGGCTCTTCCCTTGCATCTTCCTTGAGTCCATCCAGCTAGAGAAGGGTGTAGGGAAGGCCGTAAGCTAAGCTGACCTGGCCCCACCCTTTGGCCTCTCTTGGCCACCTGGGCACCGTCTTGGGAGAAAGAACTTTTTTCCCTGGTCTGCTGTGTCCCTTGGAAGGAGAGGTGTGTGCCTACTCTTCTCTCGGTCCCTCCTGGGCATAGTTGCTTCTCCTGAAGGCACCTTGCTATGGGGAAGGGGCAGTAGTGGGTGGTGGACACTGTGGCCTCTAAGTGCATCCTTCCTTTCTGGTCCTCCAGGTAAATTTGAGCCGCCACTCTTCCACCCAAATGTGTACCCCTCGGGCACAGTGTGCCTGTCCATCCTGGAGGAAGACAAAGACTGGAGGCCAGCCATCACGATCAAACAGGTAGGCGGGGCTGGCCTATGCCCTACCCTGACCCCTCACAGCGTTGAGTCCATAACTCCAGCCACTGAGCCCCACATGGGTTGTGCTGTTTGTTTCTTTTTTTGTGTGCAGATCTTATTAGGAATACAAGAACTTCTAAATGAACCAAATATCCAAGACCCCGCGCAAGCAGAGGCTTACACGATCTACTGGTTAGTACTGACTGTCCTCTTCCCTAGAAATGAATATAGGTACCTATCAGTGGGTACCTGGGGTACAGTAGCCTAGGAGGGAGGCTGTAAGTCAAAAGAGCAGGGGAAGTCATGTGAAGTGGCTGGAGAGGCATGGAGGATAGCATCATATCTGGCGCAGACCCTGTGGTGAGCAAGAATGGACAGCAGGAGATGGAGATCAGTTAATGTGGTTCTCCTAGGCTACTTCCCCCGTCCCAAATGCTGCCAAGGGTGGCCACACTCAGCAGTCCAGTCACCAGGACCCCACAAGTGGCTTCCATTCACCCTGCTGTCACGTGGCTGCACAAACTCGGCCCATTCCAGCACCTCATGCAGGATTCTAGGGTGTTTTCACCAAGTTGCCACAGCTGTGCCCTGCACAGTGGAGGCAAAGCTACTATGCTGCACAGGCTGAGTGGCCTTGAGGGCAGGTGTGGCCCATGCAGATGCAGAACGTGTGTTCACTGTGTTACAGATCACGTGGTGGGTTTGGTCCCCCGTCCACACCAAAGCCTGTGGTTCTCAGCCCAGACTTGGCAATTCCCACATTGCCAGGGCTTGTTGCCACCGCCTTGCTTAGCTTTTTTATTTGCTTTTTAGAGGTTTTTTTTTGTGGGGTGTGTTTTTTGTTTATTTGATTTGGTCTTTTTGTTTGTTAGGGGCATTGTTTGCCTTTGGCAGTAGTAATTGAACCCAGTGCCTTTACACTGAGCTACATTCCCACCCACCCCCCTTTTTAGGCAGGGTCTCCCTAAATTGCCCAAGTTGGGCTCTAATTTGCAATGCTCCTGCCTAAGACTCCCAGAAAAAAGGGATTATAGCCATACACCTCCACACCTGGTTGTGCACATTTTTTTCCCCAAACATCCATTTCAAAAACACCTTTTGTGAAGTATGCTTGAAAGTCTTGGGTCCCTTTCTCATGAGTTTCAGGCCTGCCCTGGAAGATGCCTCGTCCTAAGGACCCTGACTTAGTAAACAGAGGAGGGAAAGGGGTAGACGAGCTGGGTTAGGGCTTGGGTCAGTGCTGCCCATGCGTATCAGCACATCCAGCCCTTCCGGCCATGGGTGCTAGGCATTAGACCCTTCGAGCGTGGCCTTGACAACAGACCCATCATCTGCATAGTGGCCCCTTTTATACCCAGCCCTGGGAGTTTCTGCAAACCCAGGGCATAAGCAGCCTGTGGTCTGCTGGGCAAGCACAGAGAACAGGACTTGAAGAGCCCAGCCTGTCAGCACTCACAGCCCAAGTTCACATACAAGCTCCAGCTGGCACAGCATAGCATCCTAAGAGCTCTAGGACCTCTTTCCCGAGGAGCATAGTTCTCTAAACATCATTAATTCCCACAGTCCTCGAGGCTGTGCTGCTGTCTGATGACAGTCTTGTTCCCAGATGCAGCATTGGCTGGCCAGTGTAGGCTGAGCTCTCGGGCCCAGCTTTCCCGAGGCCCCACCAGAAATTCATGTGTGTTTGTGGAAATGGGGACTGAAAACTTAATGCTGAAGTTGGGCATGGTAGCAGACACCTATAACCCCAGCACTTGTGAGACTGAGGCAGGAAAACTGCGGTTCAAGCCCAGGATAAGCAATATAGCAATACCCCATCAAAAAATTAAAATTGCAGAGAGTAGACTAGTTGACACTAGCTTTGGGGTTTTTTGTTTTGTTTTGTTTTATTTTGTTTTGTTTCATATGTGTGTTTTTTGGTAGGGGGTTTTTGGTTTTGAGAGCACAGGGGTAATAATTTGTTTGAGTTTTGAGACAAGGGCCTGCTATACAGCCCAGACTGGCATCAAAATTTCAGTCTTCCAGGCTGGGGATTTAGCTCTGTGGTTCTGCCTGTCCCACAAGAACAAGGTCCCGAGTTTGAATCCTGGTACCCAAAAAAATTTGCTGTCTTCCTGCCTCAGCCTCTATAGAGTACTGGGAGTATAAATTTCTTCACAGCTTTTAACACTGCCTGAATCTTTGGTTAAGCCTGGGCCCATTGGATTGTCCAGCACTCAGGAGGCCAAGGCAGGGAGATTACTTGAGCCTAGGAGTACAAGGCTATGCCAGTTCAGCATCTGGTCTAAGCTGGAGCTGGGGGCCATGATGTTGCACTTGCGGTCAGTAGTGGACTCCTGTGAATAGCCACTGCAGTTCAGCTTGGGGCAGCAAGCCAGATCCCATCTTCTTCACAAAGAAAAAGACTGAAAATGGACTCTGCGTTGATGACTGTACTTTGGGCAGCCTGGGTCCCCCCAGTTCCAGCCCTGCTCATTTCCCATGGAGCCACCCTGTGCCATGCACAAGTTGTTAGGGTGGCCATAAAGCCTCCCCTCTCCTGTCACAATGCCCACCCTGGGCTTCCAGCACATGCCTTCCTGCCTCTGGCCTTCTGGTCCTGCCTGTGGGAAGGGTCTGCCCTGCACCTGCCTACCTCACCTGTCTGCCCCAGGTGCCCTCTGGACACAGGCCTCTCCAGGCAGCCCCTGAATATCCCACCAACCTTTCTAACCTTTTTTTTCTTTTGACCTCCTCAGCCAAAACAGAGTGGAATATGAGAAAAGGGTTCGAGCACAAGCCAAGAAGTTTGCACCCTCGTAAGCAGCGGCCCTGTGGCTCTGCAGAAAGGAAGGGATTGGTTTGGCAAGAACTCGTTTACACCTTTTGCAAATCTAGAGTCGCTCGTATGGTCACTAGTCACCTGGGAGGGCTGGGCGGGCGCCATCTCCATTCCCGCCACTGGCATACAGTTTTCATCGCTGAATCACCCCGTTTTCATACAGGGTCTCTTCCTTCAGTCTTTTGTATTTTTGATTGTTATGTAAAACTTGCTTTTATTTTAATATTGATGTCAGTATTTCAACTGCTGTAAAATTATAAACTTTTATACTTGGGTGAGTCCCCTAGGAGCTAGTCCTCTGCTCTCGGAGGCAGGCATGATTCCCACCACTCAGAGCTGCCTGTATCCTCTAGCTGGCTGTACGAAAACAAAATCACTTGCCCCTCCCGCCCCTCATTCAGTCTCCTCAGAACCTGGGCTGTGTTGCTTATGAGCCTCAGATCCAAAGTCAGCTAGTGTCTCGATTCTGCATCACTTCCTTTGTGTTTATATGGCGTTTTGTCTGTGTTGCTGTTTAGAGTAAATAAACTGTTTATATAAAGGTTTTTGTTGCATTATCGTCATTAAAGTGTGAGGAGAGGTGCCTCAGTTAGCCTGGCCTTCCTGCTGGGCCACAGCCCAGGGTCCAGGACCAGTGGCTACTCTGCTCTGGGATGCACCGGTCCCATGTGGCTCTAGCTTTGCTGGTTCTTTGTAAATAGGACTGTGTACAAAAGTGTATGTTCAAGGTGTTGCTCTCCTAACCCTGGATCCCTGGGATGTAGAGGACTAGTCAGAATGCAGATCTGGTGAATTGGACTGCAGACTGTAAAGCATGAAAGTCAGAAGCCAGAGCCTGAGACCCACTGCCACGAGAGAGGACACAGCAACTAAGTCCTGACCAGGGCAGAGGCCAAGGGAGGTCTGCAGGTACAGCAGCAGATGTCTGCCCTCCTAGGTGACTGCACTATGGACTCTACCAGTTGTTTGTTTGCTTGCCAGGGAGGTGACAACTGTCTTTAGTTAGCCCTCTGTGTGCCCTACCTGTGCACCAAGACTTGCTGCCACTGTGGCAAAAGGCAGGTACCTCCTCTAGCTGCCAGACTGCGTGGCAACTGTTGGACAGACAGGTCCACACATCCCGAGGGTCTCTTGACCTGGGTGGTGGTGAGATGCCTTGAGGCCTCACTTTCCATGCCCTCATTACCACCCTGTGTTGCTGGCCCTCTCCACTAGCAGCCTTACCCTGAGCTTATGCAGGCCAGCCAGGTGGCCATCCCCTCTGAGCTTGCCAGGGTATAGGAGGGTACACTGGGCTGTGTGTACTCTGTCCCCTGTCCCTGTGAGCAGTCCCCACCAGTCTTGTTCTGAGACCCAGTTCCCACTGTGGGAATTGGTTGCTTGGGCTCTAGTGTTCAGACCCAGGAGTGAGCTGGTGGAGCTGGGGGGTTCAGGAGGGTCAGAGAACTCTGGCAGATTGGGACCACACACCTAGTTGGCAGCAGTGGGCAGAGCTTTGTTCACATTTAACTCTTCGTCCTGGCAGGTGGCTGGACTTTGGGATGCACAGTTACATTTTACCACGGAGGGGCCTTCCCTGAGGAATTCAGCCAGGTTGTGTATTTGTAGCCTGCTCCCAGAATGTCTTATTTTGTAATGATTGACTACATTTAGTAATAGTTACACATGTATATGGTTACTATATGGAAATTCAATATATTTTATAGTTAAAATATTCTAAAGTAATTGATGTTTCTAGCAAATTGTAGTGGCTACTCATCAGCTGTGAACTCTTCCTTTTGTACCACAGTCCTGGACTTAACAAAGATGTGAATCTTGTAACCTGAGACATGAAATGTGATCATCGTGTTTAACCTGAGGGAGGAGGGTGCTCCCAGCATGAGGCCTCATACTAGTAAGGAATTGTGGGCAACAGATTAACCATTGTATCTAAGAATCCTCAAATTAAAACATTTCCACAAATGGTGGCCCTTGGATTGTTTCCTTTCCTGCCCCGTCCCCTCCCTTTTCCCTATGCTGGAGAGTAGGGAGCCCTTTCACTTAATACCAAGGATGCCTTTCACCCCCTGGCTTCTACGGTTCTGTTCTGAACCTGTTGCTCTTGCCGAAGGGATCCCCCAACAGCACCCAACTTCAAGCATGAAACCCTTAGTGACCAGTGGAGATGTCTCTGCCAGCCACAGAGGGATTTGGGACTGTACTCACTACTTAACTGCCTGGGGCCCCAGGGTATACAGGAGGCACTCGGTTCAAATCCTGATGGAGCTAAGGGCTGATTGTGCCTGGCTTCCCGCAGGCCATTATGGAATGCCAAGAGCCAGCCTGGGGGAAGCTGACTGAGGGCAGTATAGAAGTGGGCCTATGCTTGGCCCCTTCACCTGGACTAAGCTAAGCCCTTGCTGGTTTCCCATGTCAGTCCCCTAGAGAGCAGCCCAGGCTACCTGAGCACCCTCATGCGCCTGAGGCCCTCCAGTCACAGCTGGATCTGCTAATAGCGAGACTCCAGGCTTGAGGTTGCCATGGTGATCAGTTACTGGGTTGGACGGTTCACAGTGACTTGAACCTGCTAGAGCCAGTCTGAGCCAGTTCCTGCAGGAGGCCCAATGAGCACTGCTGGGTCTGGGGACCACCCACGGAATACCAACCCTGCTGACCGAGGGCAGCATGGAAGTGGGCCTATGCTTGGGCCTTGGTGGCCAACCTGGTTTTCCATAACAAATTAGGGTTGGAGGCCTCAGACATTGCCCGCCTCTCTCAGGAAGCCACAGGTTCCTGGCTTGCAGTAGTGGAGCACTATCCATCCTGCCTGTTCCCTGGCCTGGCACAAACACTTCTGGATTTGTCCCGAGGCCACCATGTCAGAGCTCTTGGGTGGGGAGTGGGAGGGGGATAAGCAAACAGCACAAGAAAAACTTGGGGTGCACAGGGCAGGGTTTGTCTGCACTAGGCCTCAGCATTTTCAGGCCAGACCTGCGTCCTTCAGAACACTTCCAAAGGAAGACAAATTCCCACCATGAGGGAATCCTGCCAATGAGGGAGGAGTCAAGCCCCAGATCCAGGACAAGGGCACCTCTATCCCCAGGACCTGCACAGGATAGGCACAGAGGATCTGGCTACATAAGCCATGTCCAGCTCTGTCTCCTGAGCCCTTGTCCTCTTCCCCCACTGACCCCTGACAAAAGGGTGAGCAGAGGAGTGGCCCTTGCCCGGAAGGTGGCCTGGCCAGAGTCCTCGCTGGCAGCAGAGAGGAGCGAGCCCCTGGAGGCAGCCACTAGGGGGCATGGTGCTTTGCACTGTCAACTGCCTTGGAGCTCGGCATCCAGAGCCTGATGATTCTAGGCCCAAAGGAGAAAGAGACGCTCCCTGCCTGCCAGGCCCTTTCCAGTTTGGAGTCCTGAGTATGCACACAGCTGGGTCTGAAAAGTAACTTCTTTCTGGGCTGGAGATTTAGCTCAGTGGTTCCAGCGCCTGCCTCTCAAGCACAAGGTCCCGAGTTCGATCCCCGGTACCAAAAAACAGTGGCTTTTCTCCATTTGCACAATTAGTCCTGGCCTTCCTGTGGTCCCTGTGTGCTGACTATCCAAGAAGGTTGCCCAGATACCACATACCTGATGAGAGATGTCCTGCTCCTATGCTGGCCTCGACATCAGCTGTCCACTGGTTTGGGGCAGTGGAGTCAACAACCTCCTCAGAGCAAGGTCTGGGGCCCAGGCACCGGGGGGAATAGCCTGCCTTCTCTGCCTGCTGTCAGGGTCACAGACAAGGATAGGCTTCCACCCCCAACCGTAGGGCAAGAAACTAAGTCTTAGGCCAGAAGTACCACCCTAGTGATGCGGAGGACTCTAGTGGACACTAACTTGCTACAAGCTGAGACTGGCCCACTGAGGCACCCCAGCAGTCCCAGGGGTGCAGCTATTAACCTCCCTTTCCAGACAAGGGGAAAGGAGGCACCATCATCAGAGTGATGTGCTGGGCAGGGGTGACTGGAGTAGGGTTCTGACCCAGGTCAGTCTGACTGTAGTCTCAGCACAAATGAGAGAATGTAGGAAGGGGTCAACAACCCCCCGCAAACATGTTAGGTGAAGAGCCCTGTGGATTATCCTATCCTAGGGAAACTGAGGCAGTTTCTCATCCCAGTACGGATCAGTTTATCTACCTGTTGAGCAGTGTGTCTCCTAGGGCCTAACCAGCCCAGACGTCCGAGGGCTAGTCTTAGGGAATGGAGCCCTTCCTGAGAACCTGGCAGCTGCTCCCCCCCAACTTCCTGTTTACAGCAGCTGCAGACTCATCCTTTCACCCCAAAGCCATTATGATCACCATGGCAACCAGACTGTTTGTTTCAACAGGTTGTCAGAACCTGACACAAGACTGCTAGGTTGCTCAGCTCAGATCCTGGATGGGAGGTCAGCTGACCCTGTCCCAACTCCCATTGCCTTCAGGGGGACAGCTGGGGACCCATGGTCCAGGCCCACTCTCCTGCTCATTAACATTCCTGTCTCAAGCAGGATGCATTTTCTGAGCTCTCCCTCAACACCCCATTTTCCTGGCTAGATTGGGGTCAGGATGGAGATGGCAAAGGAGAACACATCCCATGGTCCTGCCTCCCTCACCCTGCCATCCTGTGCTGTCTCATCCCCTGCATACAGCTATGGGGCTGGGGACAGATGTGAGTTGGAATTTGGAACTCTAGACAGGTGGCAATGTCACTCTGTCCCAGGACAAGGGGAGAAGCCACCTGGAGAAATAGCCTGAGCTGGGAACAGTACCCAGGCTGTTCCCTTCTGAGCTCCCTTCTCCAGTGCCCAGTAATGAGGACAGGGAGACAGCTAAGACAAGGAGTATTATACACAGTGATCTGCAGACAGGCTTCTGCCAGACCTCTGTTCTGGAAGTTGGTGCCAGCCTTTCCAGAGGGAACTGTACTGGCCTCTCAGCTCAGCTAAGAGGGCGCCTGGCCTGTCTCTGCCTCTTTGCTCTTCACAGGGCTGAGGTCCCACTGTTAAGGACCCACCCTCTGGAGAAAAACCTTACCCAAATCTAAGTGTCCAGCAGAGGCAGAGCTGGGCCTAGGGGGCTTCTGTGCCCCTCCAACAACCCCAGATGCCCAGGCAGCCCCAAGACAACCTGTAGCTCTTCAGGCAGGGCCCCAGGCCTTTAGCAGGCAGCTCGTTAGAGACTAGCAGACCAACAGGTAACGTTTAACAAGCCTTCAAAATTGCCCAACACGAGGGCAAACACCTGTACCGTAATCCCAGCATTTGGGAGGCTGAGAAGGGCAAAAATTCAAGCCCAGCTAGAGCAACTTAGCCAGATTTTTTGTCTCAAAAAAGGCCTGGGAATGTAGTTCAACGTGAAGGCCCTGCGTTCAACCCCAGTACCGAAAAAACAAAAACAAAAACAAAGCCTTCCAGGCGAGCGTGGTGGGGCTGGTTTGAGAGCAGCAGCTGTGGAGGCCGGAGAGGACGGGGAGGGGGAGCCCGAGTCCAGCTGGCTGTGACCCGATCAGGGACTGTGGCCAATTTGGACCTCCCACCCTCGTGGGGTTGTAGTTGGGGTCCCGACTTGAGTCTGCGAGCCCCGCCCG